TGGCTCCAAATGCTTTTCTGAAAAATTTATTTTATTTTTAATGATGAGCACATGTGTGTGGGTGTGAGTGCAGGTACCCTGGGAGTGGAGAAAAGCTGGATCCCCTGGATCTGGTGTCACAGGTGGGTGTGAGCCCCCATGTGGGCACTGGGGTCCTCTGTAAGAACAGCAAGTGCCCTTAACTGCCCAGCCGTCTTTCCAGCCCCAATTCAGTGACTTCTCACTGTTTCCAGAGGTCAAATAATTTCAAGAGTTATCTTTATTCACAAAGATTATGTCACATAAATGTCCTAACAGTAACACTTTGGGAACATAAAGATGGACTGACTTAAGGAGTTAAAATAAGGGTCAAGCAAAGTCTACATAATATCTCTGAAGGAAGAACAGCATTCATCTATATGTAAGGATTATAGTGTATTTTGATGGGAAAAATACATTTCACACATTCATTGCCAGTAACTACACTAATTTGCTAAAATCGGGTCTTTATGATAGGCAGGCTCTAAAGTTCATGCGCAGGAGCCTCTACATCCTGGTGGTTGAGAATATGCACGCTATGAACTGGGACATAACATAGAGAACATTGCCAGGGACTATGCTGGGATCAGTCATAAAAGGGTTCTCTGCAGGAAGTGTTGATGGAAAACTAGAGTAAGACTATAAAAGACATTCCAGAGAAGGGCCATTTCCAGCTCACTGAAGAGACCAGTAAATTCTCCTGAATGAGCCAAGCACATACGAACGTTGACAGCATCTACTCTTGTTGCCAGATTTTAGCTACCAGAATTTATTCTGGAGACATTATCTCAATAATGGGGCTAGGAAAGTCACATAATTGATGCTAACATAATATGGATGGTAATCTTAAAATGTATGGGGAAAATGAACTGGGGAACCAAGACATAAGAATATTTAAAAAAATGTATTTTATGGCCTGGCATGTGGCTCAGTCAGTAGAGTGCTTATCTCTAACTCATGAAGCCCTGAGTTCATGATGGCATACATCTACAGCTCAGGCATTCAGGAGGCTGTGATTAGTTTATACTGTAAGTCATTGTTTGAAAAGTAATTTAGTTAATCATTCTGTCAGGGTTTTGGGTTGTTTTTTATAGACAGGGTTTCATCTAGCCTTGAACTCCAGACCCTCCTGCCTCTACTTGTAAATGCCAAGTTTACGGGTATATGAACCATGTCCTGCTCAACTATATAATTTTTTTTTTTTTGAGAAAAGGTTTCCCTGTAGCTCTGGCTGTCCTGGAACTCACTCTGTAGAGCAGACTGGCCTTGAACTCACGAGAGACCTGCCTGACTCTGACTCCCAAGTGCTGGGATAAAGGTGTGTGCCATCATGCCCAGATCAACTATATCATTTTAAAAACTTATCACCCACAGGAAGTCCCTACCTAATCTGTAAAGTCTTGACATCTCATGGGAAAGGAACCAGCTGTTTAATAATGAAAAGGCTAACTATGTAGTAAGGCTTACTTAAGTAATGTTTATGGAGTGGAGTGGATTAAACAAAATTAAGAATTTAAAAAAAAATAGAAAGCCACTACTTTGTTAACTCAAAAAACATATAAAGTGGCCCCCAATCATATCTTACAGTTGTATTACTCTGAAAGAGGAGCTGAATTCCATTTCCAGCACCCATAATGGATGATTTACGCCCACCTTAACTCCAGCTCCAGGGAATTCAACACTCTTTTCTTCTCTTCCTTCCACGGGCTCCTGCACTTACATGTTCATGCCCGCACAGACACACATGAACATCTACTTAAAAATAAAATCTCAGAGAGAGAGACAAGGACAGACAGATACACAAGCACAGAGGATCTGAACACAGGTACCCTGCATGAGTGAACGTTTCCCTTAGAAGACAAACATTATGAAGTGAAAATCTCAACGCCAGGTGTGGGAAAACTCCCTATGAGTTGTAAGTCAGGGAGGCCCCCAAACAAGGGGCTCCACCATTGCCATCATAAGTAGATGGAACACACACTTTGGTTACCGGACACAGAGAAATCAAGCTGGAAGTGACAAGCTGGAGCGCTTTCACAGAGCCAGAAGGTTATGTAGGTTGTGTGAGGAGAAAAATTACTAATATTGACCAAAAAAGCTATATGTACCCACATCTTGTACAATAGTTATGTGAAGATTATGGGGTTAACCCACTGCTTTCTGACTGGACTTGAGGCCTGCTCCACAGAAAGGAATTCCTATCTGGTACTGGAAAGCTGAAAGCCCATGGCTGGGGAGGCCACAGGCCCTGGGGGATGGGGAGACCTATTACTATTGTTTTGTTAAACAGACATGTGATTTTTAGGTTGTAGCTATAATACAGTTAATAATAGATCTTGTAAATATTTAGGTTCACACACTCTCAGCCTTGGTCATAGAGGTTTCTTTCTAGGGTAGCAGTGAGTGCACCAACATAACCGGTCAAAGTGTGGAGAACAGGTAACTGTGGCGTGCTCATTTGTTTTGTTTTTGGTTTTCCCGAGACAGACTTTCTCTGTATTGTTTTGGAGGCTGTCCTGGAACTTACTCTGCAGACCAGGCTGGCCTCGAACTCGCAGAGATCCGCCTGCCTCTGCATCCCAAGTGCTGGAATTAAAGGTGTGCGCCACCAACGCCCGGCTGAACATCTATTTCAACCTTTCCTGCCTCCCCCCAAGCCCCCAAGGTTGAGGGAACACTGTGGGAGGTGGGGCAGAAAGAATATAAAAGCAGGAGAAGGGGAGGAGTGTTGTCAAACTCTATCTTCTGGAAATGGCACTCACAAATTCACTCCAGCTACGGCTACCTGAACAAGACCTTCAAAAAGCCAATACCATTAGCCACCACTCCAGCAGTCACATCAACTAACTGGACTCAGTGAATTACAGGGAGTGGGAAGGGGCATGTTGGGGTGTGCCTAGGAGGAGTGTGTGTGTGTGTGAGAGAGAGAGAGAGAGAGTGTGTGTGTGAGAGAGAGAGAGTGTGTGTGTGTGAGAGAGAGAGAGTGTGTGTGTGTGAGAGAGAGAGAGAGTGTGTGTGTGTGTGTGTGTGAGGGGGGATTGTGGGTGGGTATGATTACATTGTATGCGTATGAAATTGACAGAGAATAAATAAAAGATTTTTTTAAGAGGGAAAAGGTTAATTGACAGCTCAGAAAAACTGTTGTTATTGCTCAGTGTCAACATTATGCTCCCCAGAGGCTACTTTATGAGTGACCAAAGTTTAAAGCTATAGTATTAAAAACTATTAGTATTTGCCAGGAATGGTCACTCATGCCTGCAATCCTAGCACCTGGGAGGTGGTGGCTGGAGGAGCACGAAGGAGTTCACGGTTGTCCTCAGCTACACACTGAGTTGGAGACCAGAATACGTCAACTTCCAACTCCAAAATTTTATGTTGATGTTTTGTTAAATACTTTGGCTTAATCAAACTAAGAGGAAACAATAAAGCATGTCTAAGAAATGTGAACTTTTAGAAATTTAAAATATTTCACAAGAAAAAAATGACAAAATTTAAGCATGCATGCACAGGGCAAAAAACATACAGGAAACAACTTGAAAAGCGATTCGAGGTAATGCAGCAACCTAAGATTGTCAGACTCTGACACCCATTAGGTTTTGGTGTGTTTTTATTTTTTTGGTTACTTATTTATTTGAGATAGGGGATGATGTAGGCCTGGCAAGCCTGAAACTCCCTCTGGAGCTGAGAATGCATACGGATCCACCTGTTTTCACCCGCCAAAAGCTGGGGTGAAGGGTGCCCGCCCTCAAGAACACAAGTCTGATATACTAAATCGTTAGTCATGGGAACTATAGGGTCGTGCATTTTAAATGCTGGGAGAATCTTAAAGTCTGCCCTTTCTCCCTGAAGGGAGGCACAACGCTTCCCTGGTAAAGTTCCTTCAAACTTGTATGATTCGTAAGAGTGGCAAAAGGCTATAATCCCAGTTTTTAATCACCCGTTAGTGAAGTGCTTTTTCTACTCGTACCATCCAGCTCAAGGAACCACGGAGAGAGACAGTGAGGCAAGATGACAGTTCAGGCTCGCTAGTCCGAGAAGGTGGGAAGTACCAAGGTTCTTTAAAGGGCTTGTTGCTTCCTCAAGTCTGAGCTTGGCTTCCTTACCTGCATCTGACTTAAGAGCATCATGGCCCACTCCCTTTATGTCAGGTCCTCGGAGGCTTGCTGCAAGCTAGATAACCCACCGTCCCACCCTCCAGTTAAGCAAAGACGCGTCCATAACTTCAACCCCAGCTAGGCACTCACTACCTTCACTTCCATCGGGAGCCCCCTCCCTCCCTCCCTCCCTCCCTTCCTTCCTCGGGGTTCCGTGACTCTACCTCTGCTCACAGCCACTTAACTCCTTCCAATGCACAAACGTAAACGTAGTATTTGGCACTGCAACCAACTCCCGTTCTTGTGGGAAATCTGGCTCCGCAGGGCCAGCCTGGTCCTCACCGCCCCTCCGTCCCTCGGCTCGGCAGTGCGGCTCCCTCACTGCCCCCTCCTCGATGCCACCCGCGTCCTTCTCATCAAAGGCCGCCCCTCGGGCCCCGTGCTGCGCGGAGCCCCTTCCTCACCCGGCCATCACAGCCCCGATGAGGTACAGCAGCAACAGGCAGAAGGTGCTCAGGTTCTGCGGGGCCATGGTGTCGCCTGGTCCCGCACTCTCAGCCTCCCGTGCCGCTGCGTCTACTGACCAGTCCTTCCGGCCCTGAGAGGCCGCCTCACGCCCGGGTCTCTAGCCGGGCCGCCGAGACAGCTAGCGCGCCCCCTCCTCAGCTGCCACTTTCCGGGAGCCCCAGAGCCGGCGAGCAGCCAGGCATGGGCCAATCGCCGCCGGGGACATCACACGCGGCCGCCACTCCGCAGCCAATCAGCGCGGTACACTTCACCTCCGAGGCGGCGCGGGCAGCCAGTCAGACAACGGAACTATAGCCGCAGCTGCCGACCAATGGGAAGAGGGAACGTCAGAGTTTCGCGCCGCCCGGAAGTGCCTGAGAATAGGCGAAAATCTCAGACTGGAGGGGAACGCGCTGCGAGGAAACCCGAGTGTCCGCCAATCAGGAGACTCCTTCCAACTCTGGCCAATTGCCTGAGAGAGGTCTTAACTTGGTTACCAGTCTGGAAACTACGTCGTGTGTGCTCGGAACGCGCGCGATCGCGAGGCTCAACCCCAGGAGGGTGGGCGATTACTCGCTGCCTAAGTACGTGGGGCGCTTTACCTAGGGATGCGATCTCACAGTACAAACCTTTTTACAAATAGTCTCGAGTTTGTAGAAAAGAGACCCGGTACCTTATAGAGAAGCCGCCGCGGAGACCGACTTAAGTTCAGATTCGGCTTCCAGCACTTCGCAGCGGTGAGACATTCCCACCCCCACCCCTACCCCACTTCCAAACCCGTTTTCGACAAAACTAAGGCTTGGCGTTCACTGGCAGTGTTGGGAATTTTAATTGCAGTATTTTCTGTAAGCTTCCCAATAGAGTTGAACATAGTAAGCATGCAGTCAATAAAAGACGATATTATAGTTCGGAGTAGAGCTTGTTCGTTGGTTGTTCTTTTCTCCTGTTTTGTTTACTGCAGAAAGCTAGTTGTTTAGCAAAAGCCTCTCTCTCGGTTCCTGCGTAAGCTATCCAGATCTTTACCAATGAACGGTGTCTTGATTATGTCCACTGCAGCTCCATCTCTTGCCCAAGTCACAGTTATCTCTTGCTTGCAAAGTTCTCTTAACCTATCTTATCCCTCCAAACTTTATATATCGATACACTATTTTAAAGTATTTCTGCTCTCCACCCTATGATCGTGGACATGCGTGAGTGCAGTAGGGGCCTGGAGACCACAGATTACACTAGGCTGGTGGATTTGGGAGCCCAAGGTCCTGTCTCTGTCGCCCCAGCTCTGGAATTTCAGGCGGTTGTTGCCGCAGTTGCTGCTATGGGTGGAATTCAAGGTCTCCTGTTTATACAGCAAGTAAGTAGCAAGCTTTATGGACTGAACTGTCCCCCAACGCCCTCGTGATTTTTTAAAAAAGTATTTTAAATCCTGCTTAAAAGTCTCTAATGGCCTTTCATTGCACTAAAAGTAAAATGGCAACTCTATTGTAACATACAAACTTGTCAAGTGTAACGATCAGTATCTTCACCTGTTAAATATCTTAAAATGTTCCAGAATAATCAGCTCCCTTTCTCCTTTAAAAAAGTTTCCATTGTATATATTCGTTGCATACGGTACTTTCTTGCATTGGCAGATTATACAAGTACATAATGTACACGGAACATACTCTTCTTACCATATGCCCTCTAACCTTTCTTTTTCTCTGTCCTGTCATCCCCTTCGTCTCTCTAGACGGTTCTGCCTCTAGTTTCACACCATATATACATATATAATTTTAAGTACCTATATGAAATCTAGGAACCACAAACCAGTGAAAACATGTATCTGTCTCTCTGAGACTGGATCTCCAGCTGTATCCGTTTTCCTATAGACAGCATAACTGCATTCTTTGTGGTTAGAAAAAAATCGTTGTGTACATAAACTAAACTAGGTTAGTTCTGTAACTTAGCTATTGTGAATAGTGCTGGAACAAATATTGATGTTTTAGTAAAACCCTTTTCTGCGTTAATAAAAAAAAAGGCATATTTTTATGTGCACGGGTGCTTTGCCTGCCTGTAAGCCAGTGCCTGCCCATTGCTCAAGGAGGCCAAAAGAGGTTGGAGTGTCCCCTGGAACTGGAGTTGCAGATGCATGTGAGCAACCATTTTGGTGTTGGAAGTCAAATCCAGGTCCTCTAGAAGAACAGTAAATGTTCTTAACCTCTGAACCATCTCTCCAGCCTGGCTCACAAGTATTGTATTGAGAATTTTTACATCTGTGTTCATTAGGGAGATAGATCTATAATTTTCTTTTCTTTGTAGTATCTTTATCTGGTGCTAGTAGTAGGGCAAACTGGCTTTTATTTCTGAAAAGTTGTTTTATAGACTACTTTGAGAAATGTTGGTGTTTTTCCTAAAGGTTTGGAAGAGTTCTGCAGTGAATCTATCTGGGATCTGGGCTTGGGCTTGTCCTAGTCACTGTTCTATTGCTGTGAATGACCAAGGCAACTCTTACAAAATAAAGCACTTAATTGGGGCTTGCTTACAGTTTCAGAGGCTTAGTTCATTACCATAATGGCAAAGAGTGTAGTGACATGCAGGCAGATACTAGAGCAGTAGCTGAGATCCACAAGCAGAGAGAGAGGGAGGAAGAGAGAGAGAGAGAGAGAGAGACAGACAGACAGACAGACAGACAGACAGACACAGAGACAGAGAGAGAGAGACAGAGAGAGAGAGAGAGAGAGAGAGAGAGAGAGAGAGAGAGAGAGAGCATGTGCAAGGGCTTTTGAAACCACAAAGCCCACTCCCTTAGTGACACTCTTCCTCCAACAAGGTCACAGTAATCTTTCTAATCATTTCAAGACAAAGAGTGTCAGCCTCTGGTGCATAAGCATTCAAATATGTGAGCCTGTGGGGACCATCTTTATAAAAAGAGAAATCCACCACAGTACTCTTTTTAGTCGGGAGATTTTTATTCTTGTTGCTTTTAGTTTCTTTCTCTTTCCTGCTTTAGTATTGATGCTTGTTGCACAGTTATTTAAATTATTTATCTCCTCCTTATGTAATAGGCAGGTTGTATACTTCTAGAAATTTATCCATTTCTTTTAGGTTGTCCTGGTGATGGGAATTTCATTGGTATCTTGTAGGTTCCCTCTTTATCTCTGATTTTGTTGATTTAGGGCTCCTCTCTATGTTGGTTAGTTTGGGTAAGGATTTGTTGATCCTGTCATTTCATGGATTCTTTGTTTGTTTGTTTGTTTTTTGTTTTTTTGAGACAGGTTTTTTTTTCTGTATTTTTTGAGCCTGTCTTGGCACTTGCTCTGTAGGTTGGTCTTGAACTCACAGAGATCCAAGTGCTGGGATTAAAGGCGTGGGCCACCAACGTCCGTCTTCATATTTTTTCATGTCAATTTTGTTTATTTCTGTACCCCTTCCATTTCATATTTTATTTATTTTGTGTGTGCACATGCCTGTGCCACAGTGTGCATTTGGAGGTTAGAGGGCAAACTTGCTGTAGAGTGTCCTCCTTCTACCATGTCAGTCCTAAGTCTTGAATTTAGGTGGTCAAGCTTGGTAGCAAGTGCCTTTACCTGCTGAGCTGTGTCCCAATTCCATTTCTGTTGCTATAATAAAAATAACCTGAACAAAGATGACATAAGGGAGTAAAATGTTCCTTTGGCTTTCAATTCCAGGTTACATAAAAAATTCTATAATTGCAGAGAAGTCTCAGGGCAGGAGTTTGAAATAGCTGGTCACACCACACCCACAATGCAGAAACAAATGTACTGTGGTACAGTTCTGAAGGGAAAGGTATCCTGGCTGTCAGAAACTTGGCTGTATCTATAGCTCTATTCTGGTGGGATCACTTCCCTACAGGAATGTAGCCATCCTGCCCCTCTCAGAGAGAGCTGAAATAGCTCACCTCTGCTTCACTCTGCTAACAGTTTCCCCTGTAGAAATGTCCATTGCTTCTCTGCTCTGGTGGAAGTTGTTTCTTCTTTGCTTCACTCTGCTAAGGGGGAACCCCCAGCAGAAATGTAGCAGTTTGCTTCTGCTGCAGTGAAAGTTGTTACTTCTCTACACTGCTCCAACTCTGGGGAAAGGGTCTTCACCCAAAACTCATTCAAGAGATTTATTGGGAGGGAAGAATTCAGGAGGCTGGCTGCCTAGGCCAGGGTAGAAAAGGGCAACTCCCAACTGAACAGGTACAGGACTCAGGGCTCATATAGGGCTTCTTGGGAGTGAAGATTTTCAGGGTGGCTATTGATTGAATTTCAGTTGAGCTAGGACAAGCTCAGAGATTGGCTGGGTTTCATGCTCAGGGATTAGTTAGTTTTGTGATTGGTTGGTTTTTGTGCTGAGTTAGTCAGGGCAGAGTGTGTTTCTTTGGCTGTGGTTTCAGAGCCAGGGTGTGTTTCTTTAACTGACTCAGGGTGTGTTTGACTGACTCAGGGTGTGTTTCTTTGACTGACTGACTCAGGGTGTGTTTGTTTCTGTGACTTACTCAGGGTGTGTTTCTGTGACTGACTCAGGGTTTGTTTCTTTGACTGACTCAGGATGTGTTTCTTTGACTGACTCAGTGTGTGTTTCTGTGACTGACTGACTCAGGGTGTGTTTCTGTGACTGACTCAGGGTTTGTTTCTTTGACTGACTGACTCAGGGTGTGTTTCTTTGACTGACTCAGGGTGTGTTTGTTTCTTTGACTGACTCAGGGTGTGTTTCTTTGACTGACTCAGTGTGTGTTTCTGTGACTGACTGACTCAGGGTGTGTTTCTGTGACTGACTGACTCAGGGTGTGTTTCTGTGACTGACTGACTCAGGGTGTGTTTCTGTGACTGACTGACTCAGTGTGTGTTTCTTTAACTGACTCAGGGTATGTTTGTTTCTTTGACTGACTCGGGGTGTGTTTCTGTGACTGACTGACTCAGGGTGTGTTTCTGTGACTGACTGACTCAGGGTGTGTTTCTTTGACTGACTGACTCAGGGTGTGTTTCTTTGACTGACTGACTCAGGGTGTGTTTGTTTCTTTGACTGACTCAGGGTGTGTTTGTTTCTTTGACTGACTCAGGGTGTGTTTCTGTGACTGACTCAGGGTGTGTTTCTGTGACTGACTCAGGGTGTGTTTCTTTGACTGGCCCCTTTACCCTACAAGGAGCCGTGTTGCCTGCCTTCTCACAGGTCTGCTCAGCTCTCTACTTGTATATATGTCAGTGCCCAGTCCAGGGAATGGGTCAGTTAATAATCAAGACAGTCTTCCCCTTTCATGCCCACAGGCAACCATCTAGTTAATTCCTCAATTGAAACTTTCTTCTCAGATGATTCGGGGTTTTGGCAAGTTGGCCACTAGAAACTAACCATTGCAGCATTCCTGCAGTCAGTGCCCCTGTCCTGCAGTCACTGCCCTTGTCCTGCAGTCAATGCCGCTGTCCTGCAGTCAGTGACCTTGTCCTGCAGTCAGTGCCCCTGTCCTGCAGTCATGACCCTGTCCTGCAGTCATGACCCTGTCCTGCAGTCAATGCCCTTGTCCTGCAGTCATGACCCTGTCCTGCAGTCATGCCCTTGTCCTGCAGTCAATGCCCCTGTCCTGCAGTCAATGCCCCTGTCCTGCAGTCAGTGACCTTGTCCTGCAGTCAATGCCCCTGTCCTGCAGTCATGACCTTGTCCTGCAGTCAATGCCCCTGTCCTGCAGTCAATGCCCCTGTCCTGCAGTCAGTGCCCTTGTCCTGCAGTCAATGTCCTTGTCCTGCAGTCAGTGACCTTGTCCTGCAGTCATGACCTTGTCTTGCAGTCAGTGACCTTGTCCTGCAGTCAGTGACCTTGTCCTGCAGTCAGTGACCCTGTCCTGCAGTCAATGCCCCTGTCCTGCAGTCAATGCCCCTGTCCTGCAGTCAATGTCCCTGTCCTGCAGTCAATGTCCTTGTCCTGCAGTCAATGTCCTTGTCCTGCAGTCAGTGCCCTTGTCCTGCAGTCAATGCCCTTGTCCTGCAGTCATGACCCTGTCCTGCAGTCATGACCTTGTCCTGCAGTCAATGCCCCGTCCTGCAGTCAATGCCCCTGTCCTGCAGTCAGTGACCTTGTCCTGCAGTCATGACCTTGTCCTGCAGTCATGACCTTGTCCTGCAGTCAGTGACCTTGTCCTGCAGTCAATGTCCTTGTTCCATCACTTGCGCTCCACCCACTGATTTGAGTTTTGTCTTATTCTTGTTTTCCCAAGACCCTAAGGTAAATTTTAAAATAATTTCGGTGTCTCTAGTTTTTTAAAATGTAGGTAGGTACTTAACTCTTAAAACTGATTTCATGGTTAAATGGAGTTAGCTCAGTGGGGAAAAGTACTTACCATACAAACCTAATCACTTGAGTTCAATTCTCGAAACCTTT